GAAATTACCCTTGCTAATGGACCATAAGCTTGACATTAGCATAATTAAAAGTGACTAGCATGAATACATAAAAAAACCCCTGAATTCCAACCAAAAGAGAGTATTAAATTTAAATACTCTTCCTGGTGGAGTCACTTTCCCTTAGGGGAAACAATCTATTTTTTTCAACCCCATTATGTACTAGATTTGCAACGAGAGTCTTTTGAAAAGACGCACATAACAACACTCCAAACACTTAGTTTTGGGAGCATGACCTGGGAAGGATGTGAGGGGGAGTGGAGACCTTCAGCTGAGGCCCAAGGGTCTGAGAGAGGACCTCAGCTGGACCCTCTCTGATGCAGAGCCACCACACTCCAGGGGCAGGGGGAGGCATCAGACCAATACTTTCCTGCCAAAGTAACAATTCCCCACAAAATGACACCTTCCCAAAGAGTTTGACTGACTAATACCCAGTTGGTTACTTCCAGAAATGTTGAATTATTCTGTCTGGATAAAATGCATTGCTTTGAGAGAGAAAAGTAATGCACTAAAGCTATTCTGTTGATTAACTGGTATGTTCACGTTGTATGGAGTATTCACTCTAATATTAGAGATGCATATATATTTTTCCCAGTGACATGTCTGTGGATGCATCAATGGAGCATTTTAAGTTCATATAAAATGCAAAACCAAGACATATCACAAGTAAAAGCAAAATATCGAGGTTCCTTCAAAAAAAAAAAAAAAAACCCAGAGAATCTCCTTTTGAGCTGTACCAAGGAAATCAAAGCTGAGTTGGACACATTCCTTGTGATTTTGTTGTTATCATTGTCGTCATCAACGTGTTCCCAGGAGATGCTGTGATTGTTTAAACACCTTTTTTCTCCAGGCCTTGCTGAAGCCCAGATGATGATGGATAAGATGCTACATTCCCACATAACACTGGAGTTTCTTTTCTTTTTTTTTTTTTTTTTTTTCCCTTTGGAAAATAAATCAACCACTAAGAGAACTGCAAAATCAAAGGCTCAGGGTAATGTCAGAAGGAGGGATGCCTTGGCCACGCCAGCACAACCATATCTTTCCCTGCACCCTCTCCTGCAGGATGCCACCCAATGCTTTCCGCAGGCTCTCCTCTCTCCAGCCCTACAGTGAAGGGCTCAGCTCCTTCCTGCATCCTCTAAAACCTAAATGCACAGGAGGGAGAGGCAGTGGGCTGGGCTATATCTCTCCTTCTGCTGAGGAGGGGATTCCTGAGCCTCCTCAAGTCCCTTGGAAATACCTCAAGATTTAATGATCAAGCAAGCAGACATTATTCAGACAAAGCCACCTGAAATGCCACAGGAAGAAGGCAAAACCCACCCCTGTGCTCTGACCTCCAGGATGACACATTTCAGCAACCGTCCTTAAAAACCACATCCTGAGCACCGTAGCTTTGTTATCTAGAAGATTTGTGGGACTCCCCTGCGGCTCCACACAGAGCTGAGGCTGCAAGGATGCAGCGCTCCTGTAAGGTGGCTGCTACTGCTGGGACTTGCTCCCCTGCAGCCCTGGGCACCGTTCCCCAGATCGCTCCCACGAACCCAAGTCCTTGCTGCAGCTCGTGGATTGACACGACATCTCAGATACCCGCCTGATGCCAGAGTGATGCTTGTATCTGACTACCCCTCCTTCATCATCAATTCCTGCAGTGGCTTTACTGGCAGGCACAGTCTTGCTGTGTGACAAACATATCGCAGTGGGCTGGAATGGGGATGGTACCCAGAGGGGGATGTTATCTGCAGGCTCACTGACATAGGGATGGGTGTAGAGGTATTGCTGCAGTCTGTTCCTGCCCTCTAGTAGCCTCTGAGCTCAGTTGCATCTGGCAGACCCAATCTGGCATTTGCTAGTTTGGGCAGTACTGTCTCAGTGGAGGTGGGGAATAGTGTGGGGAGCACAGCACACACAGAGCAAAGGAATTCAGGGCAGCCGCAATCTGCAGAAACTGTAGATGCCCATGCAAAGCCATTTCCACATTCATTGCAATTAGTACACTATTAAGGTCCCCCACCTTCCTCAGGCCATAAGCGCCCAACAGATGTACAAATCCCACAAACACATTGGCTTGTGATGGATTTCTCAGTCTTGGTCAACATGATCCTGCTGCTGATTTCTCACTGTGCCCTGTGTGCCAGAGCTTTCAAATGTTCCAGTGTGCCAAGAAAGCAGCACAAGAAGAGGTAGGCTGCTCCTGCCATGCATCTTGGTTGCTTTCCATGTGCCTCCATCACCTACAAGATCTGCTTATGCTCCAGCTTGTCCTACAGCCCCATGGGACAGCCAAGCCACAGTGAGATGGGCTGGGTCCCTCTGTGCACCATCCCTCTTCAAGGGGGGCGTCAACCCAGGCCTTGGGCTGCCATCACTTTGCTTGGAGGGTGGTGGCAGTGAGATGTGGAGCTTTTGCTGGCTGGCACTTGGCCCGTCTCACCACCCAGGCCACCAGGGTGGCTCTGACATGCTGATGGGGTGGTTATTTACATGCTGGGTCTCACACACAGATATGTTGTTCTTTCAACAGGAAAAATACTAGACCAGAGTGAGGAACAGGAGAGGATGAGGAGTGCCAGTTGCCCATGGCTGACTTACCACCTTGGCAGGTGGCTCTGTGCTTCCTCTGGCCAGTTGGCAACTTGGGGCAGGCAACATATGGTGCCTGGGCTCCTTCCCTCCTCCAGCATCTGCACAAATACAAAGAGGGGCTGCTGCTGGGAGGCTACTGGCTCCACCTGAGCCCCCATAGCACTGCCCAAAGCACCTGCACTCCCCTGGATGTGGAATAAGGGGATGCTCTTGAGCAAGTTTGCCTACTGGACCACTTGAAAGGCACATCTGAATCCAAACTGCCAGGGAGAGCACAGCAAGAAGTTGGGAATGGGCAGCAAAGCATCTTATGAAGGAGCTAGAAGCACCATTAAATGCAGAGGCTTGAAATGCTCCAGAGAGCTGGGCATGCATGGGTTTTACAACACCTAGGCTGAGTGAATTGTTGATGCTCAGTGGCAGGGGCTGGCAGCCACCTCCACCTTTCTGGAGCTTTGCCAGCAGTGGGCTCCTGGGCTGGGGGAATGGACATCTAAGGGGAGGTGGTGATGCTGTCTGATGCACACAGATAGCAGGCACATCCTGTCTTGCTCAAGTAAACTCACTCCTTTCACCCTCTCTGAGCCATGCTATCATCCCTGCCAGCCATTGGGCAGGTGCATTAGCCCCTGTGCTGGGGCTGGAGCCCATAATCCTGGCTCCATTGATGCAGTGGCAGCACCCAGGGTCCCTACCACAGCCCCGTGTGAGTGCTGAGCAGTCAGCACTGGCAACAGGAGAAGTGGTCCAGCATCCCAGCAGAAGAAGGGAGGGAGAGCTGCCAGCGGTGCCTGCTGGCACTGGAAGAGGAAGAGTGAAAGGATGTGAAGTCTTGAAGCTCACCTGGCAAAACAATTTATTTCCCATGTGGTATGGTGCAAAAATGTATTGTGTGGCTGCTTTAGCTGCCTGGTGACATGGTGCATCACGATCTCATCATTTGCAATACGGGAAAAATGTGTACCATACGTTTTGCATAGTAGGCAATTAACAGATGGAAAATATATTTGTTTCCCCGTTTGAGAGGTAGGAGAGAGATGTAAAGCCTGGAAGCAGAAGACAGGGCTGGGCATAGAGGATCTTGGGGAAGGGTGTGGGGCACAGACATGGCAGATCCGTCCAGACAAAGGGGGAGTGAGAGATGTTGGTTGTCATACAGTAACTTGTAAATTATTCTTAGAGAAAACCAAAGCATTATGCAAGCCAAGTACCCTCTCTTTTAAAAAAATAAAGCCTAGAATCACTCAGGAAGTGCATTGCTCATGGGGACATTCTCTAAATAAAATAAAATATGATGATGATGGTAATAACAACAACAACAACAACAACAACAACAACAACAATAATAATAATAATAATAATAATGACGAAGGGTTTGTAGACAACCCCTACTTTCCCTCCAAGCAGCTAAAAAGGTGCAGAAGGATGCAGAAGGAAGGATGGGGCTGCAGATGGCAGGGCAATCCAGGAGAAGAACAGTCGGAGCCCATCGGTAGCAGAGCTGCACAGACATTTATTGAACACAAACAACGACAAACACAGCCAGCTCACAGAGCTTCCTGAGCTATCGTCCAAAGGTTTTACTCATGGGGATTGTCAAAAGAGTGCTTTCAAAGGCCCCTGGAGGTGTGAATCCCATACAGCTGAATTCTTCCCACTTCCAGTTGCTCATTAGTTAAAAAAGAGAACCATTTGTGTGTGTGTGTGTGTGATTCCCTTCATTTAGTATGAAAAATGGCTTGTCTGGACCCTGCCCTGTTGCAAAGAGAGAAGTCTGCGGGTGAACCTATGCGTGCACATTGGCTTGGCTTCCGCACATTTTGCTTCCCAAATAACATGGGGTGAAAACTATGCCTTACCCTGAGGGCAGGGATGTGAGATCACAAAGGTGAGCCAGGACAAGCAAAGAGAACAAAGAGGGAGCATCAAAGGAAGAAGCGTGAGAAAAGTAAGTACTCTGAAGCACACACACAGCTCTGGGTGGCGTCACACATCCATAGGCTACAGCAAGTACCGCCAACGTCAACTCAAACATGTAAGTAGCTAAGCTAGACTGACACTAGAGAACCCGTCATCTTCTGAAGTCTTGCCAGTGGGAAAAAAAAACCCTCCCCGCCCCCCGAAAAGCAGATGAAGTAATAACACCGCACGCTGAAAACAAGGACCATAACCAAAGAGTTCGGGAGCAGCCTCAGGAGCACAGTAAGGAGCTCTTAAAGAAATGTTCTAGTGTGTGCATATGCATGTGTATTTATATATATATATATATTCATTAGTAAAGAAAAGAGTATCTGTGGAGGCAAAGGGAAGACAGTAAATGTACAGGCAGTACAGGCTGGGTGGAGTGCCGGTGGCTGGAGAGGGTCGGGTGGTGCAGAGTGGAGGATGGTGGGTGGAAATTAGAGTGCGCCCATTCCAGTGACCTCAGACGTCAGCCTAGAATAGACAGGGGCAGAGAGAGGGGTAGGGGGAGACAAAAACAAGCACTTAATAACCAGAGCAGAAAAGAAAACTAAGACCCTGCAGGGCAGCGCTCCTCCTCTTGCCTATGCTCCACTCAGACGGGAGGGCAGAGCATCACTGGGTGACTTGAGCGCATGGGGCTTGGGGGTCCCCGTGGAGGGCACGGGGAGCTGCAGCATAGAGCCAGCTCAATGACCAGCTACCTCACTGCTGCCAGGTAATGCCCATCCCTGGCACTGTGTCACGGCAGCTGGCAGGAGACAACCCAGCACACAGCTTCACTTCTATCAGCATCCCTCCCATGGAGGTCAGGCAGCTGTTGCAGCTCCTCTGGCTTCTTTGTTTTGCTCTGGTTTTTGAAACTATGGGAGAAGCTGAGTTATGCCCCATCCTGCCCCCTGCCAGGTCATCTCTGCCTCCGCCACAGCACAGGCTGTAGCTCAGCCAGCCCTTCCCAGTAAGGAAGAGCTGCTCATTTTTCTTTTCTTTCTCTTGTCTCAAGAGGTGGGGGGGATTGGCAAGGAGCTGTGGGGAAAGCCACTCGGCCATGCCCACAGGGGTGGGGCTGGCCCTGTCCCTCTCTGGAGCAGCTGGAGAGGTGCCATGGGTGTGGGCAGCGGGACAGCAAGGCAGGATGGGATGGTGGAGGTCTGTTACAGGTCGGGGCTGAGGTGGGTTGGGTGCAAGGAGGAGAAAGCACGTACAGACCTCACCGGTGCTCCCAGCCCACACCCCAACAAACATCAGAGTCACCGCCAACAGCCCCCCATCCTCGGGACCCTGCCAGCAGCCTCCCACAGCCACGTGTGTCCTGGGCTGGTGGTGGGTTGGCACAGCACCAACTCTGTCCGTGGCAGAGGGCATGGAAGGGCGGATGGCCTCGGCTTGCACAGCTGTGCCAGGCAGGCATGAAGACAGTGAAAGGCCCTGTCTCCCTTTAAGCTCCCCATCCACGAGTCTGTAGACGCAGGCAAACAGGACCATGTGAGCGCCCTGGACACAGCTCACCATCAGCACATTACTGGTCCCCAACCCCTCTCCAGCTATGCCTTCCCTGTATGCTCCCTTTGCAATCCCTTGCCAGACCCCCAGTCCTCCATGGCACAGGCAGCATTGCCCCCTGGCTGGAGGCAGCATTGGGAACTCTTAGCCCCTGCAAAGTCCTGCTGTGCCAAGCTTTATAGCATGAAAAGGAAGCAATCAGGCCGTTCCCAAGTCTTGAGTTTATTGGACTGGTTATTTTCACTGGATGGAGGAAAGCCTTTGGGAGGCCTGGAAGCACGTGGAAAAGGCTCTGAGGTGGCAGTAAGCGATGCTGGGATCCCAGCGAGCAGGTCCCAAGTGATGCCTCCCCACCACCAGCTGAGCTCCATCCCCGTCCCTGTCCCCTGCCTCATCCGCAGGGAAAGACAGCGGTGATTTTGCCCACCCATGAGCAAAATTCTTGAGCGAGGGTGGTGGGTGGGCAGGCGACCGGCGCAACCCGTGGCTGCTTTGCCAGCAGCGAAGCAGCTCCCAGTCCCTAGCCAAAGTGCCAGCTGGGGGAAGAGGTCCTGCTGGTGACGTCTGGTCCCCTGCTCAGAGGTCTCAGCAAGCCACCATCTGTCCCAGCCAGCCTCAGGAAGCCCCTCCTGGCCTGCAGTGCCGGGAGTGAGTGCTGCTCCCACCATGCTGGCAGGACGTGTTTGGTCGTGGCAGGAGGTGGCGGAGGTCAGCGGGGAGCGTCTCACCTGGCGTTGATGAGGTACTGCGCGAGGCTGATGTTTGCAGGGGTTCCTGTGATGGTAATTTGGCGCTCCGATGAACCTTCCGTGGCGTTGGCGATTTTGATCTGCGCTCCCGACATCTGCCGAATTTCATTGATTTTGGTCCCTTGGCGTCCGATTATGCAGCCTATTAGCTAGAAAAAAAGCACGGAGGGAACGTCTGAGAAGCGGCAGCTCTGGCAGTCACCAGTGGGACGCGAGCACAACTGCATGGCATGGGCCAGAAGCCTTCCTCACTCTGCCCTGAGGCGTGAGTGACCTTAATGCTCATGAAAACAGGAGAGGGACAGACCTGGGGTGAATCCCACCTGCATGTGATCACAGTCCTCCCAGGACACGTCCAGCAGCCTGCCCTGCTCTGCTCCTTGGGGGGCAAATTTCAGCTATCCGCACACGATGCCCAGCATCTCGGAGGGCTTCAAGAAGGGCAAGGTGTTATACTGGGCTCATTTCAGTAACAATGATTTTCATGGCCTAATAATTAGTCAATGTTTTGCAAGGATGGGAATAAGCCATGTTTCAGACTGTGCGCCGCACTTATCCCCTTGCCAATCACAGGCCTGAAGGTGGTTGGACAGGACACGCTACTAGAAGAAAACAAGCCCGCCACCTCCCCCGGTGACAGCTGAAGCCCAAGAGCTCCCTCATCAGCTGGTGCAGCCACACACCATTGATAGCTTCACATTTCTTGCCCCATCCCACACTTCTACCCTGCTGGAACACCCTCGCTGCCTCTGTTACCCCCTTCAGCTCTTTTGGTGCAATGCAAGGGCTTGCCGGCATGCACACCATTGACAGCAGAGCACCACCTGGCTGTGGCACCAGCAGAAGAGAATCCTACTTAAAAACATGCCTTTCACACTCTTGCAAAAAAGTTAGAGCCAGCTGGAGGCTTAAATTTCCACAACTGACTGCTCCTTGAATTTCCTCAATGGTCCTCAATGGCTTGAATTTCCTCAACAGTCTTCATCTTTGCTCTTGCTCATTTGTGCATCAAACTATGGTTCCCTCAAGCAGCTCTGCAGCTTGGTAACATGTACTGAGATGTCCACCTTTACCAACACAGGCATGATGTGTTCCTGCATGCCTTTCTTGGCCATCAGCATTTGAGCTTTTTTCCAAGGTTGCACCTGGGAATTTATATGTGGGACATTCATCTTGGCAGCTGCTGGATTTCTGTCACTGTAGAAGTGGAGACAACTACTCCTCCAAATGTCCACTGGTCTTTTTGTCAGATCATGGGGCTACCTTAGTTGTCCCATATGGACCTGAATATACACTGCACAGCAGTGCTGGAAAGGTATCAACTATTTCAGAGGCTGCAGTGTGATGTTCAGCCCAAGAGCCACCCATCCTGGTCTTCACAGCGCAGAAATTACTCAGAGATGCTTTAGAAAATGAACATCCATTGCAGCTGGGAACCTGCTGGGGAGACATGAGGAGACAAATCTATTTGGATAGATGTTCAGCAACATCCAAGAGTCTCTGCACAGCATTGAAGTTTCTCCTGACAGTCAGAGGAGTGACAAGATGAATTTCAACATCAGCTTTCCTTTAACTCTCCTTTCTCTGCAGTGCAATGCAACCACAAGCTGATCTTCTACACCACCACTGTAGACCCTTTGCTTTAAGAAACCCAAACCCGTCCTCTGCTTCCTGGGAAGGTGGCAGTAGGAATTTAAGAGCCTTCAAAGCAATAGGACCCAGAGCTAAGCATTTTTCAGCAGGCAGAAAGATGCAAGTGATGACATTTAATGGTGTGCAGGTCAGATGAGAGCCAGGCTTTTAGTGAGTGAATGCTCTGAGTGCTCCCAGGTCCCATGGCAGGTCCTTTGGCATGTTAAAGGGGACGAAAGGCCCCTTTGCAGAGGGTCGCTTGATATTCCTGAAGATGCCCTCATTGCTGCCAGGGCCAAGGTCTCCCCATACTTGACAGACATGGCTGTTGCAACCTCAGGAGGGCTTGCAGAGCTCCTCGCAGCCTCCCACAGGGGACTCCTTGCTGGATGGACAGAAGCAGACGTGGGATCATACCTGCTGCCGTCTCCCATGGACTTCCTCGCAGAGCCCTCCTGCAGCAGTTGCCCCTGGGGAGTGAAACATGTCAGAGAGTTTCAGCCAGCAGACGCTCAGAAGCTGTTTCCCAGCCACATCTGATGGGTGGAAGGAGGCCTCACAAGTGTCCCAGAGAAGCAGAGGCTCGCCACCCTTCCCTGGTGCTGCTGTGTGTTGGTGAGCAGCAGGAAGTAGCAACAGCTGCCAGACCCAATCCAGAAACTCCTGATGAGGACGGGCTGAAGGTGCTTGTAGGTGATGGAGATGGGGACAGAGACTGGAAGTCATCCCCCTGCTTGTCCTGATCCTGATTTGAGCACCTGCTGGTTATCAACCCATGGAAATCAGTGGTCCAGTCCAGAAGCAAGTGAGATCCTTGGATCCAGGTGCCGGCTGTGTTGGGCTCTGCATCCCACCTCCTCCCACCTGAGCATCCTCAAACATCCTCCAAGCACCACTCAGTGCCCAGCGTGACTCCAGCCTCCTCCCAGTGAATATCCCAGTCCAACATCCACTTTCCCACAATGCCTCCATCTATAAGACCCACAAGCTGCCTGCCACCAGTACTAAGGTGAGATGCATCGTCCTTCCGACGCTTGTGTGGCACTTTGTGGCATCAGAAACACTATTTGCTTACCTCCTCTCCAACCCCCCAGTAACTACATTTGAGCCAGTGCTAGATTAAGCAATTATGGTTTAATCAGGGCTGGCTTGGGAGCAATCTCCCCTTCCCAGTGCTGTCAACTGGGCATGTTTCATGAGCACTGAGTTCACTTGGAATGGGAAAAGGAGCATTAAGAAGGATTGTACCTAGGAAAGCTACCAACAGGGTAAAGTCCAATGGGTGCTTCATGCTGCAGGCTGATCCCCAACAGACTGTACATGGCATGGATGAACCTGGTGAACGGGCATCTCTAAACATATTTAATGAAGTCATATGCCTGCAGCTATTTTTTAATGTATATATATATACACACACACATATATATATGTGTATAAACACACACACACATGCCAAGGAAGCACTTGGATTTACTTACATCATTGGGAATGGTGAGTTCATGAGTACTGGCCGGGGGACTGGCATCCAAACCTGGGCATATGCAAGGGAAAATGGTTATAGCTTGCAGAGGCAGAGAGGTGGAGCTCCACTGCTTTCCTGCAACGGTCAACACTGCAAAGGCTGCGTCCTGCTCCGGGACTGGGAGAGGAAGGGGATCACACACTCTGGTACAGGGAGGAGGAAGACGGTTGCTACTTGACACTGCTGGAGCTGGGTGCCACCTTCCCATGCATCCCTTGAGCTGACCTCGCAGGCGCTACCCCATGAGTGTCTTGCTTCCCATCCTCCATCCTCCCACTGGGAATGGCTTCGGAGGAGGGTGCATTATAGTGCAAAGTTGCAGCATCACCAGAGGGAGGTGGGAAAAGCACCTTCCCACGAAGCCCTCCTCCACACAGCAGCAGACAGCCTGCTGGCTGGGAGACCCAACCCTGGAGACAGACAGCCTGCCAGCGGGAGGGCTGTACACGCACCCTGCAGCCCTCTCTGGACAGAGCAGCACAGAGCCACTTGGTTACGACAGCAGCTTGGTGCCCCAAAAACAGTTTCCCCAGGGGATCTGGCAGCGCTAGTGCAGGGCAGCCTGCAAAGCACTTTGAAAGTTACAGCCCCACAAACTTGCATGCTGAATTTAAGCCAGACTGCTAAGACATGCACACTAGCTGGACCCGGGACTGACGGTCTCTCTTACTTCCAAGAGAAAGCATGGCAAACAGTATGGACATTCAGAGCCTGCTTCCCTACAAAATTACATGGCAAGGAGTGAAGGCAGCAATATGCTTCCTCTCAGGCTCTCCTGGGCCAGGGAGGGCACTCTCCTCCATGGTGGGCAAGGCTGGAGCCAGCAGGCTACCCTGTGTGTGCAGCTCCAGAGGTAAGAGGACAGCATGCTGTAACGCTCCTAGGCCAGGTCGAAGCCTGCCTCTCCCACAGGTTTCCATATTAAATCACCTCAGTGCTGAAGCAGGGATGTCCTATGTCAAATCTGCAAGAGAGAAGATGTCTGGTGGCTAACACAGATTTGCAGTAACCTCAAAAAAACCCTTACCTATGATATGAACTACCAAGGAAGGCTTTTAAAAGCAGAGTGTGCAAGAGTCCAAGACACTTGTGCAGAGACAAGAAGCACAAGGAGACTGGAAGTGCTGGGCTACTGCAACACAAGACATCAGCAGCACCAAATTACTAGTCACCCAATCCAGCAGGGCTTCCTCACACTGCATGACACTATGCCGCTGCCTTAACCACACTGAGCAACTCCTCCAAGAAATGGCCAAGTTTTGCTGGTCTGCACTTCCATCGAGGTCCTCTGCACCATGGAAGACGAGCTCCCATCCAGTTTTGCCAGCAACAGCTGCCCAGGTTTTAAATCCCAGTAGGTCTGAACTGATGTCTGTCTGGATATCAGCACTTCAAAGCAAGATTTCTAAAATACTAAAACAAAACTTTAGGTTGCAGTCAAATGTCAGGTATCCTTGATTCGCTCCTGCATGATTCCTGTGCTTTCCCACATGCACCTCCCTTACAGAGATGCAGCACCTGGGTACACTGCCCAGGAACATGCTTGCAGGAGGTCTCTCTACCACATTTTTCAATCAGGAGCACACAGAAATGCAGGGGATGGGGATGCAAATCTTCCACTCAGCAGCCCTATGCACAACTTCACCCCAGACAGGTGTATTGATGCCAAAGCCTGCACAAAACAACACCTGCCCAGGTTTTACATAGTGGGCAATGCTTAATGCTGACTTTATAGCACGCTGCACTGGAAGAGACATTTCACCAGCCCTGGACCGTCTTTCACGCCAAGCCTCCTCACAGTCAAGGGCAAGGTGGACTGCACCTAACACAAAGACATGTCCCTCAGGGTGTGGATGTCCTGGTCTCTCAGCCATGTGTTAAAAGGCTCAGTTCAGTAGCAGCCTGGGTATGGCAGAAAATGTCTTCTGAAGGGAGCAGAGCAGGGAATCGGCTCAGAGTAGCACTGAGGCACCCAAGGGTCTTTGGAAACGCAGGCCAGGCTCCTTACATCTATAGGGCCCCCTGTCCCATGCTCAGATGGCACAGGTGCTGCAGAAAGCCCTTGGGCCATGTGGTGCCATGGTACTGCATCACCCCCTGCATCACAATGGACACTGAGGAATGGCCACATCCTTTTCCATTACCTGGAGACTGTTTATTTTACCATACCATATCCTCCCTCTCTGATACACACATGCAGTCCCCACAGCTGTAATGTGGGGGGGTCAGGGCAGGATCGGTGCGTTGTGTGACTGCAGAGGGCAAAGCAGGGCACGCAGAAAACAAGACTGCGCAGGTTGGTATCATGAAATCTATTTTTGCTGTAGTCTTGTGGGGTCTATTTACTCGAGCTACTTTTGCTTTTGTAGTTAGGCCATGCCCCCAGATTCTTTCGAGGCGTGCATGTGATGCAACCTGGCTGGCTGCAGAACACACACGTGCCCCAGGTATGCCCAGGGGAGGTCTGGATGACATTGCCTATGAGCCTCCAGGCCTCAGGATAACTCCTCTAAGCAATGATAGGCTATAAAAGGTAAGCATGTTTGGCACATATGGATGAATGTGCACGACATTTGACATCAAAATTTCTGCAAGATTACAGCCATGCTTTGGCTCCTCAGGGTCCTGTCCCACTAAAAACGCAGATCTCCCAGAATATCTTAGAGATTGCTAAAATTGTGTCTTGTTTCTGTACCCACAGGCATTTTTCTACTGTTTCTGAGCAAAGTTCATGCAGAATTAAATGAGAGAATAAGGGCAATGACTCTGATGTCTTTCTGTTACACGGATGGCAGTTACACGCAAACATAAAAAACCTAGGCAATAAACTACAGACACTTTTCTTTTGACATGCTGTACAACGGCTGGCACGATGCTGCCTGGTCTCTCCCTGCCCACCAAGAAAACCTGCCATCTTCTCCACAAATACCACAGTTTATCTAAGAGCACAACAATGGCACAGTCCTATTTAAGAAATATATTTCAACAGAAACCTGCTTATTTCCCTGTAGCTTTGTGTTTTACCTGATGATTGGCCCATCAGATTTTGAGCTTCTTCGGAGGAATGTAAGGGCAGCTTTTCTCCTGAAGAGCAAAGAAGAAACAGGTTTAATGCTTTTGCCTTCAAGGAGATAAGCAATGTCACTTCATCTAGGAAGCTCAAAATATGATGAACATACTGTCAGAAAAGGCATTTCCAACCAGCACTTTGACCACCGAGTAAGCAAAAGTACTTTAAATATCTCCATCTCCTGTGCTCTATCTGCTTCCCAGGTCACCGTGAAATGTGTTAATTGCCACGCCAGCCTTGGGGACGAGGCTGCTGAGCCACGCCATATCTGTCTGTCCTCCCATCAACGCAGCTCCCTATGGCCACAGCTTCTTCCCATCACTCTCCCAGGCGCGGGGGTGCTATCCTGCCTGGCTCTGCACTGCTCCCTGCAGATGCCAGGGCAGCATCCCCAGCCAGCACCAAGCCGTTCCCCCTGGGAAAGTGAGGATGTCCCACAGGGGTCAGGATCAGTGCACGATGGGAGATGCTACCTCCTCCAGGTGGGGAAGGATGGCAGACTGGCTGTCATTGCTTCTACTGGGAAAGCCGGCAAAGCTTGGAGCAAGGTAAGCATGGCTTTGCAGGAGCAGTCCAGGCATGCACAGTTAACAGCTGAGAGCTCACCCACGAGGACCATAACCCCCAAACATTCGTCCTGTCTCCCTGTTAACCTTTCCCCGTGTACATTGCAACTTCAGCTTTACTTGCCCTGCTTGCTTCCATTAAATAGCATGAGTTTAGAAAGAGAGAGAAACTCTACAGGTAAGAAGAGAAGGATATCTAGAAAGGGAGTGTGGGTACGTACCAGGGAAAGCGGGGGTGGTCTGTCCAAGGGGAGTAAAGGGGGTTTGCTGCATAGCCAACTGGTGGAGCTTGGTCAACTGCTGAGGGGTAGGAGGGACATTAGAGCTAAGAAGGTTATTGTCATAGAGTACAACAAGTCACACCAAAAATCAAGAACAAAATTATAACGGAAGAAAAAAAAGAAGAGAAAACAAAAAAAAAACCAAATGAGGAAGCCATGGTGAGACATGGCAAAAACATTAGCAGAAGGACTTGGCCTGGGTAAAATGCAATAAAGCCCAAATCTTTTGCAGAAGTGCTTGGTCAGGGTCTGAAGTACAATACCAGCAAGAAGCCCATTCTTAGTTTTCGCCCCTCGTCAGACAGTTCAGCTCCTTTGCCGCGAGGAGCGTCCACCTCAGAGCACGGCAGCAGCTGCAGTAGCGGCAGGGCCACTGCTTATGGTGCTCCCAGCCACTGCCTTCCCCTCCTGGGCTTTGCAACCTGAAACCAGAGGCTGCTGCTCGCTTCAAGGTAGCTTTAGAGCAGAGAAGCAGTGGCAAAGGCACTGCCAGGCTGATGGCCATCACATGCCAGCAGCCAGAAGACCCTCTTTGTGCTGCTGGAGCTGCATTGTGACCGCTTGCCCCCACGGCAAACGCTCTTGTGCTGCACCTCCTATGGGAAACGCCTCTGGGAGACGGATAAACTGCGGCTCTTAATGTCAGCTTGTTATGAGTGCAAGCCCCTTAGCAGTGTGGGGAAATATGGGCTTCAGCCATGACCAGTAGGTATTTCAGATCCTTGTATCCCTTGTTGTGCCGGCTAGCTTTTCGTGCCCTGTCAGGAAGCGGTTGCATAGAGAGGAGTTTGTTTGGAATACATTTTGTGCTCTGTTTCACTGCTCCAAATTAAAAAAAAAAAAAAAAAACCACACCAAAAAACAACAATAAAACAAAAGAAAACGAAATAAACTGGGCTGAAGTCCATCAGTGAGCAGGAGGGAGGGTCTTTATCACCTCCTACTCGTTGATTCCACAGGTGCTCAGAGGGTTGCCAAGATCACATCATCCCCTAAATGCAAACTGCTCCTTGCACTCATCCCCTATCTGGTAAGGGAGAGGCAGCAGTTTCAATTTCCATGGGATTTTTTTTGGAAACAATACTCAAAAACCTCCTTGCTCCTGCAGCATGGCTGGGAAGGGAGCACAGGGAGGTCTGGTTGGCAGTGGTCAGGGGGAAGCACTGGAGAGAGCAGACCTGGGGGCTGAGAACACCAGGGGAGAGACTGGAGGGAGGCAGCGGGGAGGGGAAATGCCTGCAGGTCCCCGGAGAGATATGCAAGGGAGCCCTGCCTGGCAGAGGCATGAGGACTTCCAGCCTCTGCCAACTTGGGGGAGAGGTCTCTCTGCCCCACAAGAAGAGATTTGTGCACATCTCTCCCTGTGCAGCAAAGAAAATGAGCCTAAGACATGCTATGGAACTGAAACAGGTCTGGATAGGACCAGACACGCCACTGCTCCTGCAGATAGCAGGGACATCAGGATCTGTTGCTTTTTAATTTAAGAGCTATCCTGTTTTCTACCAAATCAAACGCTGTTTGTGGAGCTCCTCGTTACAACTGGTCCCACTGGCAGGACTCTAGATGAAACCTCCTGCCTCTTTGCCAGCACTGCTGAGGAGCACTGGGGAGGCAGAGTCCCTCAGGCTCCAACCGTGCCCTGGGGCAGGGGTCCTGCTTTGCCCAACGATAGAAACACCAAAGTCCTTTCTAATACTGATCTAGCATATTTTTAAGACATATTTTGGATAGTGGTATTTAGCAAACACCTGTAACAATAGCAATAAAAAAGCCTACAAGAAGAGAGGATGGCTGTGCCTAGGTGTTAAAGTGAGAACCACTACATGAATGCTTGTTGTGCACGAAATACCTCCTTGTCCATTTCATGGAAAAAGCTGGAAGCAAAAACCAGAGAATATTTCTTCAAACTCTGGTTTTCCCCACAGACCTGAAGGCAGTTCCCCACCAGCACTGCTGGGAGCGATACGACAGGACAGCAGTGCTGGGACCAACGTACAGCCATGCCAAGCACCACTAGGTATCCACAGCAACGCCCGATTACATCTCATCAGCTGCCAGCCTGGTGCATACCCAGGAGCAATGTCCTGGTTTGGGAATTTTCCTGCACTCGACACCTATTTTTTTCCCAAGTGTCCCCGACTGCTGGCTGCCATGGCCATCATTTCATCTCTCTCAGCAAATCTCATGAAGGCAGATAGCTACATGTCACATACTGAATGGCTTACGAGTACCCAGGCGATGCCAAAGCCCTTTGTGAGCCAAAACTCCTGTGGACCTGGGTGGGTTTTTCCCAGGGAGAAAATCAAGGCAGGAGCTTGCATTTTAGCTTTGGCATTCAAAATTCTGCCTGCTCTGCATTCATGGCAAAAGGCATCTCTTAAACACAGACACCTGCGAGAGCAAGGTGCCCTAAGGAATAATGTCCTAAAATCACGTTCAAGACTGGATTCTGCACTGAGCAGTGTTTAAAATGACCGATTCTTGCGAGACAGCTACGAGAGTAAGGGTGGAGTGCATGACCCCCATACAAACAACTTTTTCCAGGTCTCAGAAAATCTGCTTGGAGTAGGGCAGAGTGCAGCCAGCAAATGTATTAAATGTATTTCATTTGTGTCAATCAGAGATATATAATAACAAGGAAAACACTAAGCTATCACCACGGCTTGTAAAGGAAAACTGGGACAAAGAATATATTGATCTAGGCTTACTAAATACGCAGGTGTATTTATTTATATTCCATTTAGGGAGCAAAAGTGAAGCATACACAATTAAGCATATTTCGTAGCAACCATCACAGCAGGCTATTCAAATTACATACATACTGGTGTTGCATGGAAAGCCAAAGCGTGGCCTCCACTAAATTGGGTAAAACTGCTCCTAAGATCAGTGTCCAGCCTGCAGCTCCTAACCGTTCCCACCAGGAGCGTACATTCATGGTATCGGACAGCCTTGCCCCATCTGCAATCATGCAAAAAGTAATCCCATGATTTAATACCCAACACACCCATCAGAAAGAGGAACACCAAGCTACATTATACTCTTCCCATATGTGAGATGGCTGCAGAAGGCTTTCCACACAGACCATGCCACTTTCAATTAAGCTGCATCCCTAGAGTGACACTTTGGGCTCAGGCCCCACAGCGGACCCTTGACTCACAGGCATGCCAGCAAGAATGGGCCTCTGCAATGGGATTCGCCAGGTATTTCATCCCCTCTGAAATGCACTTAGAAAATCCCAGCTTTTTCCAAGAGCTCCCCAGCACATGTCAGCAGTTATAACCCCAGAAGTCAAGCACAGCTGTCTGCTGCTAGCAAGGAGCTGCTGGCATTGCATTACTTCACTGCTGCTTTTCATAGAGGAATCCTTTAAAATAGACTTGTTTTCTATTTCTGTTGGTACTTTTACGCACAGACATGCCAGCAGAT